TAAAGTCATTGCTTTCATATAAATTTTGAGGAAGTATTTGTTGGTGTGGTTTCTCCCCCTCTTTTTTTGAATAAAGCACAGTAATTGTATTTTTACCCTCAAATTTTTAAAAAATGAACTTTTTATCTACCTAGTTTACAATATAGCCTTTAAGTACTCTGAACTCCCACTGATGTTGGTGACAGTACTCAACATGTAAAATCAGTCCACAAGGGTGCAGCTACAGTAACAGTGAATATCTGAAGCATGAAAACCACAAGCTTAAGCATCCCAAAATACATACTGCCATATTGTGGTAATACTCAGATGAGAGAGTAAACACAAAGAACCTACAGCCAACTGGATAGGCACTCACCAGCCAACATGTCTATTGTAAATAAAATATTATAGAGAAGGAGATTGACATGGCTTGAAAATAACGATATAAAAGCTGCTTATTATCTCAGTAGGGTCTGTAAAATGGTACATCTGTTCATTATTGCATATTACAATTAGTCATGAGTCCATCAACAGTAGCTGTAGAATTAACTTTCCTTCCTTTGAGGTGGAAAAGATTTTTGCAGCATTTATTCAATCAGTTCCCAAATTAGCTGATGAGGAGCAGTTTAATGACATGCCAGTTCTATAGTACCCATGATAATGTGTTTTGTCCTTTTTGATAACTTTAGCTATCTATCATTATAAAAGAAAGAGGCAGTGCAATTTCTCAGGTGGAAATACAAAATTAACTCGGGTTACTTAACAGATTATTTCAACTGTGCTAAATAAAACAGGTTTTTAATTTATATCAGACTATGGTTGCATAAAGGGTTTCTATATAGAATACATATCATTACCATCAGTGAAAGATATGCATTTAAAATTAAGACTCACAGTGTGGATTATTTATTCTCATATATGTGTCATGAATGCAGATTTTTATTATGTAATTATGTTATCAAGCAGTATGGGAAAAGGTTGTGAAAAAATTATTGCGGCGGAATTGTACTTTTGGTCCAGCAGTCTCAAAGTGACCCAATGCTGCTAATACCTTCTGGCACCATCCTGAAATCATAAATGTTTATGATTATGTACTGGTACCCCATTTCTTTGACTAAGACTATGATGAAGAACCCTGAATGTTTGTGAGGCACAAGTAAAAAGCCTAGCTGACTGACATTTTTTTGTGAACTATCCAAAGTAACAGAATTTCTTGAGTATTTTTCCAAGGGTCATGAAGTTTTACCCAAGATGTAACTGCCTAAGAAGATTCATATGTCATATGGATAACAAATGTCTCATGTTATATGAAAAAACACCTATCGTTCTTATCTGATATGATGCTTTTCAAATAATATACAGAATATGTTTCATTATAAATACATTTTAAACTATTAAATAAATCACCAGAAAAAAAAAATAGTTATAATTTCTTTGTATTGAGTTGAATTACATAAACTCCACTAGTCTTTTATCATACAGCATTATTGGCTGATGAATGGTCTCTGTACCATAGAAACACCAAGAAGGTATTTAAGGTAAAAGAAAAGCTATTGTAAGATACATTTGATAGCTCACTGATCATGGTAAAGGACTAGATGGCAGGAACATGTTTGTTTACTTTTTGTAACTTTATTTTTTGAGAACAGCAGTTACTAGCTTTATTAATGTGACATATGTAACTGAGGAAACAGATTTGGTAAACAGAAGAAATATGCTAAAAATAACAGTTATAAAACTGTTAAGAAAGAATCAAGGGAAGAAAACTGTAAGTAAAATGAAAGATATTGCTCTAATCTTATTTTACTAGTAAGCTGAATTGAGCTTACTAACATCTGATTTAGGATAAAGACTTGTAGTTCTAGCTTTGTGTCAGAGTAAAATGTTACTTGTTATTTATCCTGGTTGGGTCTGGCAGCGGGAGGAGCTGCAGCACCCTGAGACCCTGAGACCCCAGGTCCCAGTGCCCTCACCTGTGTGCGGGGGCGGGGGGAGCACAGCTGGAGTGCTGGGCCCCGATTGGCCAATAGTCCATGTCATGTGACATTGTGCTCACTACATAAAGGCAGGAGTGGGTGGGGAGGGGCTGCCACTTCTGGGAGTGTGGCTGTGGTGCCTTTGTGTTTGGGATAGCCAGCTGGGAGCAGGTGGGTGTTGGTCAGTGGGTGGTGAGCAGCTGTATTGTACATTACCTGTTGATACTGCTGTCAGCGTGTTATTTTGTTACTGTTATTAAACTATTTTTATCTCAACCCGTGAGTCTTCCTTTGCCCCTCCGATTCCCTCCCCATTCCCAAGTGGGGGGAAGGTGGGTGAGCGACTGTGGGGTGTTTAGCTGCCGACCAGGCCCAAATGACAACAGTATATTGTTGCAGATACCAATTGATGATCAATCATAATCCCTCTTATTGAAACAGAATACTAATATTTACTTAACTAAGATCAACCATGACCAATAAATAATGTGGTGTGAGTATTGCTTCACCTTTTTTAACAAAATAAAAGGACAATAAGACTCCAACTTCACTAACATCACATCTGGAACACCAAAAAGATTAAAAGCCCACATGATTTTGCCATATAAATGGAGTAAGAATGATACATACATTCTGGAGAGTGATGACTTTGTCAGGGACAATACAAAAAGGATCCTGTCCCATGAAATTAACCACTTCCACAGAACTGGAGAGAACAAGATTTTTACCTAGTCGTTTTTGAGACTATTGAAATAAAGCATAATTAATTTCCATGATTCAGTTTTTAAAACCATCATTATTTTTCTTCTCCCCTTTGTGTATATTACAATCAACTGTTTTGCTCCCATTTCTTATTGCCCTATTTTCATACCATCAAAGAGATACTGCTAAGTTGAAACAGTAAGTTCCATTTGTAAAGGGAGTCTACAATTTTAAAGGCATGACAGACAAAATATCCTCAACATAAAAAAATCATATGGTGTGATCCTACTAAGATATTTATTTTAAAGGAGTTGGTGCAAAATGGGGGAAGGAAAGCTGCAGACTATTTCTCTGGGACTTCTATTATTCAGAAAAACTTAAAGAAAAAAAATAAGTCAATATTTTACTCATAACATAATAGTACTTGTGAATTTTAATAACCTCAAGGTTCTGAAGTCTCTGTATCTCAACTACTCAGATGCCATCAAATACTCTAACAGAAGTGTACAGAGCCCACAGACAGCCTGATAGAAGTATCTTCCACAGGTGACCTGTGGTATTAAGAATGCCAAATAAGAGAAAACAAGGGAACAAAAACCTGGTCCTTTTTACATATTCTACTACTAGCATTCCTGTACAGGAACTTTTTATTACTGTGTTCAATAGAAATTTTGAGTGAGGGAAATGCTTGGAAGTGAAATGAAAACCTGCTGAAAGTATCAAAACCTCTCTTTTGGCTCTTCAGTCAGACAAAAGATTTATGAAGCTATTAGCAAGACACTATATTCTAAATACCAGCCCAGTTTTGGATTACATTGCTTTCACTTTTGTATTTGCAAGCCCCATACAATAATTTTCAGAGCTGAACTAGAGTTTTTGGAGACTGATCTCATATAAAGGGTCCTACATTTTTAACAACACGCTATACTTTATGAAGGAATAAATCAAGAAGTCTTCATAAAACACAAACATCTCTTTGAAGTAAACGAATTTAGGGAGAACTGAGGGTAAGACTGTAAAAATATAAAGATTATTTTTGCCTTTTGCAAATCATGGTAGCTAGATTACAGATGTAATGAGTCATTAGCTCTTCATTTTGACTCTTGATCCAAAGTTTTCTTTTTCTTTCTTTGAACATAGAGATTCCTATGCAGAAGTTAGATGAGGTCAGAGAAAAGCATCATTCCCATGATCTGTGGCAGCTAGTTAGTAGGAACAATGTTAAGGTATAAAGTTTAGCCTTTAAAACACAGCATGTTGCACAAAAATCAAAGCAAATTCTACTTCATTCTGATTAAATTAAATCATCAACATAAATAAATAGATGAGAAGAAATAACTTACAAAAATTCCATTTATTTCTCCGTTACACTTGCTTGATAAGACTACTGTGCAGCATCGCAAAATGAAACACAGAATCTCATTCATATTCTCTTGTATTTGATCTCAGTAGGGTATCTCGTTTTGCTCAGAAATATAATCCACTTCTTACATATGAGATACAAATACTAACACCTTTAAACCATATTTTTGCAGCCCTAAAATTAATAGAAGCAGGGAAAGCTGATATATATTTACATAGGTGGACACAGAGTAAAATGATCTCATAATAAAAAATTGTCTCAACCTGACTTATATTTCCCATAACCCTGCTCAAGTGAAAACCACCAGTGGCAGTCATAATGGATGCGTCTGGTCATGTGGATTCAGAGGAGACAGATAACAACACGATAGCCAAGGGATAATTTGAGCAGTTAGCCCAGTTAACCACAGTGCTGGTCAATGTCTGACTCAAGACAAATTTGGAAGAAACTAACGTCTGTAGTCAGTATGTAAGTATGACTATAAATCAATTATCTTACTCCATAAATAGTGGACAGCCCAGGGCCCGTTGAGCTCTCCTGCGTGGCAGCAGGCTACATGCCAGGATCTCCCCTGAAGTAGTGATGCCTTTCAAGGTTACTCCTCAAGATTGAGAGAATCCTTATTGTGTCATAATTGAGAATAAGTGCCCTGAAACTTTGCAACCTTACCTAAGTGATATAAAGGACTGATCGCACATATATATTCCTTTAGACAAAAACCATCGACCAAGGCTTGGACTAAGTCTGGATCCAGTTACACTTAAACTCCTCTCTGAGGAGTTTAGAATGCAAGGGGGTCTTTTCTGAACCTCATGACTCAACAGGAGGGTCTCCCTGACAGTTTTGTCTGACTGTCATCTATGCATTAAATATCCAGTGTATCTTGTCATTGAATCTTGATAAACCACTGTCGCATTTACTATCAAACTTTGTTAAATTGCTGTTTTGTATCAATAAACATACTGCTACTTCTCTCTTAGAAGTGAAGTGCAACACTCTGTCCATGAAAACCCTGAGTATGAGGCAACTTCCAGCATCTTTTCCTAGGAGATACAGACATGATTGTTATTTTCTTAAAAGCAGTCAAGTCTGCAAAACTATACATTTGAATAAAAAAAAAGTTACTGGTACCTAGAGCAGGTATGGTTTTGTTTTTTGTTTGGTTTTTTTTTTTTTTTGGGGGGTGGGGGGTGGGGTGGGATATGCTTATAATTTTATATTATTCAGAAAATATCTCTCATGTAACTCTGTTTCCAGGACTGGGCTGTTTTTTTGGGGGGTTTTTTTGTTTTTTTTTTTTTTTTTTTTTTGGTTGGTTGGTTTTTTGTTTTTTTTTTTTTTTTTTTTTCTGGTGTGTGTTTGTGTGTTCTGGATTCTGTTCTTTCCCTTGATATGTATGCTTCTATAAACTACTAGAGTTGAAAAGCCCTTACTGAGAATATCTATGAGGAAAGCTTAACATTTTCACCACTGAAGTCTGTTTCAAAAGCTTTTTAATACCATGAGTACAGTTATATTCAAAAGGAACAAATACTGAGCAGTAAAGGGATGAAATTTATATATGTAATTTATTAGCACAACCATCTATATGTGTCTGCTCTACTTTCTATTTACATCCTTATATGAGACCTGATATTATATGATCTTCTGCTGTGACACTATCTACTACTTTTTCCAGAAAGAAAAACAATGACAGAAAAAAAACATCACCTACAAAGCCTCTGGCTCAGTGTTGGACACTGGGATGAAAACCAATAATCTCTGGATTTGTAAGCAGTATTCTGTGTTAATGTGGAATTACATTTTCAATTTTAAATTACATCTGTTCATGACATAGTAAGCCGGACTACTAACACCAGAAAACCTTTGTCTGCATCTCTACAATGGGAATATTTAGTCTTTTTGTAGAGCATTTTCAGAAGTGGAGATTAAAAATATTGCATAAATCTGAGGACTGTTAATCATCTTAATTTCTATCTCACTAATCACATTCGATCCTGATATAAGTTTCTCTCTTATGCCACAATCTTTCTTCCCCAGATCTTCTAAAGGGTTGTCTTGCATGCTCGATTGAATGACATTCTTGTAGCATGGTCATCAATATTTTAAAGACCTAGAAGAACAATTGCTTTTATTATATAATAATGCTGTAGCCAGGCATTGAGATTTAGCACAGGGACCTGAATGAACTGGCAAATTTCAACAGGTTTCCAGAGCATTAAAATTATATTTAAATACTGTCAGTGACTTGTAAAAATGTGCTCTGAATGTCCTGTCAGATATCTTAGTAGTCATGTGTCTGTAATTTACATAAATTTTCATTTTTTGTTCAATAATACTCTAATACACAAGTAAGATGTAAATTAGCACTTTTCTTTGACATATTATTTTTCTCTTCTAATGTCTTACAAATAATTTATTCTCATTCTTTTCTCCTGCTTCATGGATGTTCTCCTGTGTCACAAGAAAGGGTTTGTCTTTTATTTCAGTTCACAATACTAAGAAGTGTCTATCTATCAGTGTCCGTGACAAAAGTTAAAAGTCAGTATCAAAACATGAATAAAAATCTGTCAAGGTTTCATCTCCTCCTAAACAAGAAATCTCAAAACATAATAGACATCAGTTTTTTGGACAAGTTAAGCTAAAGTAGCAAAGTTATCTGTTACTATAACTGACTTTATAAAAGAACTTCTTTATCAAACAAATGTTGATGATAGACCTCAAGTCAGGGTTGCCCTACACAGCACATCTGGCAGCAGTTCAGTTTTAAAATATCAGACATAAGGCTCACATGTTTTGAATGATGTGAATATTCTGTTATCTGAGGGGAGAAAGATGGGAAGAATATTTGTAATAAAAAACTGTAGTTTGTGTTTTGTTTTGTTTTGGGTTTGTTTTTTCATAGTTTATCAAGTATTCAAGAAAATTACCTGCCTATATGCCAATTTATTCCTTCTGGACCTCTCAAGAATTCTCACCAATCTTAAGGGATTAAGTTTCCGAAGATAGTTTTCTGTTTAGTAAGATACATCAATTTCAGAATTATATGAATTCAGTCAATAATCACCTGGGATTAGTTGTAATTATATATTGAAATGGAATCAAAACATGGTGGATAGTCATTAGTACTCACTTACTTGGGATATTCATTAGTTTATATAGAAATCAAACATGATATTGATGATGGGAAAAATCTAATTGCTGATTTCAGATTCCTCATTATGGTTATAGAAAAGATAGAGTCGGACTCTTATAAGTGTGCATTGAAGAGAGTAGTTGCACCAGAAAGTAAATTCTAACTATGAAGAAAAATATCACAATGAGGGTGGTTAAACACTGAAGCTAGCTGATATGGAATTTCCAGCCTTGAAGATATTAAAAATCAGCAAAAAGAACTGAGCAACCTGATGTAGCTTCAGTCAGCCCTGATTTGAGCAGAAGGTTAGACCAAGTGACCTTCAGAGAGCTCTTCTTAAATTTCTCTATCAGTCTATCATTCTGTAAAATCATTATCACAGTACAACCAATAATGGTTATAAAAGAATCATTTATGATTTACCACTGTCTTCTTGCAGTTATGCTCTTCTTAATTAAATCCAAGTCCTGAAAATCACAGAGCACTGACTTTAACAGGTCATTTATTCCTTCTCCTTACTCCATGACAGGAATGTTATTTGTGCCATATTTCTGATAATTTTGAGTCTGATTGTAAAGACAATGACAGAGACTTTACAACTGCCTAGAGAAATGTATCTGTTTGCTTCGCTATTAGTACTATTAGAAAGTTTATCAAAGTTTAACCTTGATATGGTTTGCTAAAATTTAATCCTGTTCTGTATTTATCTACGTATCCTGGACATGATAAATAAAAGATTATGATAAATAGAAACCCATTCTTTTCAGGACTCTTTCTCATGAAGTTACTAAAAACTCATTTTGCCTTTTCTCTAATTTTCAGTCATGCTTTTCCCAAATCCAATAGTATTATTTGCTTTGCCCTTGTGGATGACTTAAAATGAGGTAAGATAAATGAACAGCTGTTGCCTTTACCACTAGCTAGTACAATGGATATACCTTGCAGCCTACATTCCCATTTATAAATCATAATATAATGGTTTTATCTTTTTGCTAAGTATAAAGTTTTTGAGTCCTATTCATATGGATATATCACCATATGTATACGCCTTCTGTAAAAATGCTATAAATCCAATCTTTTCGCATTCTGTTTATTGCAACTCAGTACCATGCATATACTTAATAAATTTATATACTATAGCAACATGGAAGTCAACAACACATATTAAATGGTATCAGACTTAAAACAGACTGAATAGTACTGCCAAAGAGATTTCATTTTGACAGGGAGAAAAGAAGTCATGCTCAATAATAATTATATCAGTTATAAAAATTTACAATTTGAAAATATCATGTGAAAAATATAAAAAAACTTAATTAAAGCATTATATGCCTCCTGTTTCTCCATTGCATTCAAGGCCTGCAGTATATGCTACCTCCCTTTTTTGACTTTTTTTAAAAGGAAATTTCCCGCTCCAGGTTTCAGTTACTTTTACTTGTCTTCTATGATCTCTCAAAATAACTCCTAATCGTCTAAACTTTTCTCTGTAATTCCAGATAGAAGGAACAGTAAGTTCATAGTCAGTGAAAGGCAGCATAAGTTTCAGAGGGTATTCCTTCCCTTTATATAAGCATCCTTCAGTATCATATTAATGTTACACAATTTAATATGAAATTCTGTGTATGTCTTTATTATATACAGCAACAATTTCCATACCTTCTGATTTAAGACATAAGGTTAAATAACCATAAACCAATGACACATATATTGGAGAAAAAATGTGATTCTGATGATTAGAACGAGATATTTTCTAGGTAATTTTAGAAAATAAATCTTTAAGATTTAAATCAAGGTTCTGTCTTTCCCAGATTAAAGGATATAATTGTATACTTCTCACAGATATTTAAAAACCTTTGCCTTTATAAAGTAATGAAGGTTCTGCGGAGCCTGAGTAACCTGACCAGTGCAAGCCCACCTCACAAAATTATCTACCTTTAAGTCCATCAAGGAGAGTGATTCAACCATTGGCTCTGGTGTGAAACCTGAAAACACAGGGATTGCAAACACAACCAGAGAAGAATTTCTCCTTTCCTGTAAAACCATTAAAATCACAGGGTCTTATTTCCTACAAGGGTAGAGATCTTACTATGAGATGCAGGAAAAAACCTATTCTGGGATTGTTTTAGAGGGATTGTAACCATGTGTCAGATTTGTTATGAGAAGTTTAGGGGAAGGACCAAATGAAAGGGAAGAGAGTGATGAGAGTGGACTGCAGGGGAAGAAGCAATGAAAAAAAAGATGCAAAAGCTCCTTTGTATATACTGTTGGACATAGATTATTGTATATACTGTTGGACATAGATTATTGATTTGATATCTAAATTTGTATATACTGTTGGACATAGATTATTGTATATACTGTTGTATATACTGTTGGACATAGATTATTGATTTGATATCTAAATTTACAGACAGGAATACTAAGCAATGGATTTTAATGTCAGGTTGGAAATCACTTCAGAACATGTGTATTAGACATCTGAAACCAGTTAAGCAAGTCAATTGAAGCAATAAGAGAAAAATATATTTGGAAATGTTTTAGTTGCACACAAGGAACTTAAATTTGCATGATGAAACACTAGATTAATAGCAACAAATTAAAGAAATTTTACTCTGAAAGCAGTACAGTTCCAACTCACATCCAATCGACTGAGAACCGTCATATTATTTGAACTCCAGTAATATTTAAACCTCTAATTCTTGGACCTGGGATATCCCTTGATACTAAAAATGTAGATAAACATTAAAATTACACAATGTCAAGAATATGGCTACATGCATACTGTTATTATTATTACCATACAAGTAATGAAACAACATTATGAGTCATATACAAGGATTCAGGAGTGGGAGAAAGAAAAATAAAAAGAAAAAAGAAAGGTTCTGTAAACAAATGTGAACTTTGAATATGATTATTTTTTTAAACCTGAAAGTCTTGGGATTTTGTTGTGAGTATTTTATCAGCTGTTGATTTAGGATTTTTCTGCAATAATTTAATCTAGCAT